AGGAATGCCCCATGCAAACCAAAAACTTCACCCCTCAGAAAACCCTGCGCGATTTCCCTCTCACAGATGAGAGCGATGTGGAGGCAGAGAATGCGGAATAGCAAGTGTGAGGATGCGTGCCCTGTTTTGAAGCTAAGGCTGTATTTACGGAACACCCAGCCTCCCCCAAGACTCGTGGACACAGGATGGACATTGGCTGTATTGTTGGCCTGTTCTCTTGGCCATGCGATCCACAGCAGGGAGCAGAGACCCAGGATTTGGAGACTCTGTCCGTCTAGTTCAGCCACTCATTTGCTGTGTGTCTTCGAGACAAGTTACCCAAACTCACTACATCTCATCTGTAAAAAAAAAATTTCAAAGATGAGGAGAATCGTGTCATCCTGTCCTGCAGAACAATATTGTCCTGGGTACAGCCTCCCCCTGCAGTAAGGGATGACATCAACACCTCTCCCAGATGACTCCGGTGGCATTTGTTAATGTCTTTAAAGCGCTTACTGTTCTTGAAAGAAAAGCACTGGAGAGAAAGACAATGAAATCAGCGGCATCAGCTTGGGGAGATTTCTTTCTCCGGGATTCTGCTATAATCCCCAGCATGAAACCTTTCTGCAGCAACAGGGCACCATCCACCTGCGTCACTGCAGGTCCCTCAACAAAGATGTCACCGTACTGCTAACATGCTCCATGCCCCTCTGAAGAGAGTTTAAAAAAATGTTCACTGCTGTCTCGGTCTAGCTTTATGTGTTGTGCTATTCATGTGCCGCTTGTGGCCGCTTGTGTGTCTTTTCCACCGTCCATTAAATTAATTCATTTATTTGAAGAGCTCTAAGAAATCCAGGCAGAAATAAGGCTGAAAGCAGTTTTAGACTCTTGACACAGACTCAGCCAACCACGCTAGCTAGATCCCTTGCAATTATAAGTGACTAATAAAAGCATTTTTAAAAAACCCCACCTCAGCTGAGGGGCAGGGGAACAGGCTGTGTTTGTGATCCTAACCCACTGCAATGAGAAGTACAATAGATTGATTTCATTCCCCTTCTGCAATTTCCTGGCCACAAGTTTAGAAAGAGAGCAGCTGCGCTGTTAACAATAATTATTGAGTATAATGGTCTGTAAAAGCATGTTGCAGTTAAATAGGGAGGGAGTGTGAAGTAATAGAGGCACCAAATTAATTTTATAAGTATCAGAAAAATTCCCGTGATCTCACTTCTTCCTCAAACTTATGACTTCTCTGGTTCCACTATTTACATAAACTCATTCCTGCCTTGAACGAGCAGTTGTTAACGCGCAGCCATTTCGCTTGCCAGAAGGACGGGTGATTCACCGCTCTGCAGCCCGGCAGCGCCACGCGGATGCGTTCGCTGGCAGGGAAGCAGGACGACAACGATTCCTCAGGATTTGGTCCCTCCTGACTCATCGCCGATGGCATGGAGGGCTCTTGTCAGGCACCCCCGCCTCCACGGCGGGCCCGCTGCCCCTCGCTTTGCACCTACAAGATGTAATTGTATTAGGCTGACTGGAAATGACTAATGCTAAGCCTGTTCTCAGAAACTGGTTATTTTTATCTTCCACCTGTTCCCCTGCTTTGACAAGAATAAAGGGAAAAACGTGTTTGCTTTCTGGGATGGAAGGAAGAAATGCGAGCTGTTCTATTTGGGGATGTATTCACACCTCCGCTGTGCACCTCCCAGTTCCATATTAACACCAAACCCCTCTGGTTGCTCTGGAAACCCACCCCCTGCGAGCATCTGGCATTGGCAGCTCTGACTTTTTTAATTAATAAATTCCTTGCGGTGCCAATGACATCGATGGGAGTTTCTCTGCTCCGAGTGAAGAACTGGGTCGTCATCTTGGCATGAAATGACCTGGGGTTTTTTTTACCCAACCCTGAAAATCTTATTTTTGAGTGTATTCGCGGCGATATGAACAAGTACGGGTAGCTCTGCCGCCTGGGGGGCCAGAGGAGGCGAGGCGAGCCTCGGTCGCTGTGGAGGAAGCAGTTTGCCCCCGCCTGAGGGAGGGATCCTGCAGACAAAACGCTTCCCTCACAGCTTCTGCGGTTTAAAATTAAAACGGCGCGG